GCGGGCGGGTGGGGGGTGGGTGTGGAGGGGGGGGGGGGGGGGGGGGGGGGGCTGAGTAGGTGAGTCACTGAATTTCAATGCTGAATCATTGAACCAAACGAAAATATATTATAGATATAGATGAAGGCAATAAACGTGGAAGGTTAACCGTCTCTGCAGCAGTGAAGGTCTGAGTTGCCTCTTTGATATTTAGTAATGTATGTAGGCAGAATGGAAGCATTAAAGGAGACCAGGCTGAATAAATAAAAGTAGAACAGACTCCTCCATCAAGGCTTACGAGTGTTGATCGAGAAATCCCTTGTTGATTCTATTGCATTCTGACAGCGGCCGCCGAACAAAGCTGCGAGCTCCATTCGGCCCAGAATTATCCAACCTGCTCCTTTGATTAGCTGATCGAGGGATGCTGGGCGGAAGGGTGCCGACAGCATTTCACTGTATGTATATTAGGGATGCACCAATACTGATACTAGTATTGGTGCCGATAATCATACTCACCCAAATGCTCCGGTGCCTAGCCCGATACCTGAGCTTCCGGTATCGGTAAGCTGGGCGGCGAGTCATAACACTCTGCCCAGCCTCCTGATTGACCAGGATGACGGCTCAATGCTCCCTCGTCACTTGCTGACGAGGGAGCATTGAGCCGGTTTCCCAGCTAATCGAAGCCGGGCGCTGTGTAATGACTCGTTGCCCGGCTTCATGATTGGTGGAGAAGCTGGCCAATCAGTTAGTTGGGCAGCGAGTCATTACCTGCCCCCCGGGCTTTCTGACTGGCCAGAAAGCCATTCTCATGCTTCCTTGTCATAAAAAACCCGCTCTGATGGATGTCATACAACCACTTGTGTGCAAATAGACAGGAAGTGACTGCAGTGACTGGCCGTGTATCATGTCACACCCTGAATATCCGCCAGAAAGGAGGATTTAGCCTTCAATGTCATAATTTCTTCAGGTTTTTATCTGACAAGCCTCTAATTTTACTCACTCTCCCACCTCTGTGCCAGAATCATGATACTGTCAGAACTTCAGTCTGACAGCAGCCAGTACCCTGCCAAAAGCGGAGTTAATACTGAAGATCAGTATTTGTAAGAGAGTTTCCCATTTTTAGAGTCCATTCACACTGGTCCGATGCATTAATCACACGGTTCCATGTGATTAACGCACCGTACAACGCACCTACCAAGGGTTAACAGGGCGGGTGGTGGGTTGTGATTCATTTGAATGGCACCCCAAACACACCTCCTGCCCGCAATACGATTGATCGCATGCACTGCTTCTTTAAATCACACCGGAACACACAGTACTGCGTTATTGTGTGTTGTAATGCGAAAGACCAGTGTGAATGGGCCCTTACCAACACCAAAGCTCTGACAGTGTCATGATTCAGGCACTGAGGTGGGAGGGGGAGCAGCGACCACATGAAGGAATAATTAGATGCTTACATTCGTCAGGATAAAAAACATCTATAGAAGTATGACATAAAAGGAAGCAAAGACCAGCTGTGCAAAGATGAAAATGATTTTACAGGTAGGTGGTGATCATTATAACAGATGAGATTTAAATTTTATGTGAATACCAGCCATAATAAAAGACAACATTTGCATAGGAAATTCTGACAGCTCTGCCAGTGCT